GATAAATAAAAAAGTTGTTTATTTAGGTAAGTTTTACAGATTGTTCCTGAACACATAAACGCCAAAATTGAAAGAGTAACACACTTTCATCCTTTCTAAGCTTCAAGGGGGGAACGCAGCACACTGCCCAAAACAACTCGCTCTCGCCTTGGACCACAACCACGCCCGGCGACAGAGCCTCGAGATCTAAATCTCTCGTGGCGGTCTCGCCTTCGGCATCACACACCTCTCATCTCCTGCTCAGGGCAGTGTCACCATGCTTCTCAAGATACTACACTGACTATACATGCCACGCAACACTACTCTTTCCCCCTCTCTCACACATACATTTTATTCAATTTTGTATATACATAACACGTATCTAAAAGTCTTTTGTTCAGAAGTTCCTGAAATAAATCGCAAAGATATCCGATAAGATTTTTTTAAGAAGTCCTCATGATAGACATAACAAAGTTTCAACATATAAGGCTAGCTTGTAGAAATTTTAACGATTGCTTTGAGTTTACTCGAAATTTAAAATACTCTAAGTAATTCGGTACCTCTGTCGACACCACTCACGAGTACTTTGGTAGTACAAGACATACCTTTCAAATATACCAAGCAATGCCATCTGATCAGTTTATATTATATGGCTATATACATCAAAAAATAAGTTTAGATCGAATATGTACAGTTAGTTTTTTTTTATACAATATAGTTATTCTATAAAAAATTGTTTAATAACAATAACCATAAAGATCTTTTTTTTATTTTGTCTACGCATTATCAGTTTTCTTACAATAAACTTGTGTAAATGTTTTATGATGACTATACATTAATAGATACGTACGTAACTTGATATATTTGTTATTCTTGAATTCTGCTTTATTTTTTATTCAACGAAAATTTTTGTTTTTTATAAATTTTATTTTTCAAAATTTTAGATAGTTGGAGGAAAAAAAGGACTACACGAAATTTTTATTCTTGAAAGGTGTAAGGTTAGGGTAACTGTTTCAAACCAATTGCAACCGATAAAGGATATAAAAATACACATCCATATGATTTAAAAAGTAATTTAAATGCTAACATTATTTAGAATCAATAGAATTTCGTTTCCGACCTTTACGGTGTTTAAACAAAATTCTTATTCAAATTCACAATGTCTCAGACAACTATGCAGATACATTACTTAATTTTTAACATTATTAGGTTTACCTTATTCGAAAGTATTAAACTGACTGCATCCGATCCCTCACTAATAATAAAATAAACAATACAAAAAATTCTTAATAACTTACGGCTTATCATATGAAATGTTATGTAAACCTTAAAAACGTTTTTGACTACCATATTATCCATGTAACACTTGGAGGTATATCAGCCATTACAACTTAAAATAATATTTAAATCCATCTTCGGCCTTTCTTTCCAAGATATTAGTGCTTATTAAGAAAGAGACATACTCTAGAGCTGTATTGTTTTTAATTTTGAGCCATCAGACCGTATAATGTTGACTTTCTTTCTTATCTTCAAAAGTATTTGTAACAGTAGTTTTCATACCATGAGGGCAAAATATAACTTCAGCGACCGAAGACTGGTAGTATAGTAGTACTTATAAGAAGTGATAGTAATAGTAGTGATAGCAGTTACTGTAGAGGCAATGGTAGTTGTGCCAGTAATGGTAGAATTAGCTATCAGCAGTAGCAGCAGTCGAAACGGTAGAGGTCGTAGTTTTATTGTGGTAGGAGAGGAAATACAGTAACGCATACTGCATAACTACGGAAAAGATGCTCAATGAATTTTTTTTTATTAGACGACTAATTAAATACCCACTAAAACCCTCCTCCATGCCTCGTGGCTTTAGTTCCACTCCAGAACAGTGCTAGCATTACTTCAGGGAAGATACACCAGGGAGATCACTGTATCTGGCAGTATTAAAGAGTAAGCTCACCATTAGGTACTATAGAAATGCCAATTCTCATAATTCCTGAAGAGGACTTGGGGTCCCCGAAAACCAACACCCGTGTAGGCTTTCTATCATCAATTTAAAAAAAAAAAATTTCAAGAAAACATCACTAATTTTTGTTTTTTGGTTCCAGAGATATCGATAATTTTTGGTGAGGTTATCGTTTTGAACTCGTTCACTCAAAATAGTCTGAAGACTCGCTTCGTAGAGTGGGCAGCTGCTCACCCCACCATCCGTCCCAGTACATAGATCGCGGGGGTACTAAAATTAAGTGAGCATTTTGAGGGCTGTAATGCCTATACTTGTTGCGAATGAAACTTCTTTCAGGTAAATAGAGCGCGCGGTGGCTCAGTCGGCTAGGTCGTGGATTGGCACGCGGGAAACCGTGGCTCGATTCCCGGCCATAGTGCGACTTTTTCGGGCATGTACCTCTGCGTATTTTCACATGTGCTTTTTCACCACGCAATGCTCCTCGAGGAGGGTTTAGGCGACCTTCTCGCATCAAAATTGCCTAATTTCCCCCTACCCCCACCTCCTTTAGTGGGAGGCCTCCCATCCCTCTTCCCTTCCTTCTCCCAAGTGCTAAGTGCCCTCAGTAGTGCCCTTTATAGGAGCCGGACGTATAGCACTATAATAAAAAAAAAAAAAAAAAAAATTTCAGGTAAAAAAACGAGGACCTATATAGCTAAGGACTAAGGTTATAGGAACTTAGCTATATACGACGGTTCGTGGTAGAAAGTATGTTCTATTCTTTAATTTATGTGTAACTTTAGTTGTACACCAGTGACAAACTAGAAACTGGAATAAAGCACGAGATAATTTAGCAAAGCCATGGGTGGTGTGCCGACCAATAGGGTAGAGTGAAAATTGTACAGGACCTAAGTGACCTACCTTATTTAGGTAGCGGGTGAGTAACGCTTCCTCAGTTTGCTTCGAGTTTGCGAAACGTGGGGGAAGCGTAGGGGAAAAATTGCCGTAGTCCTGCAGTACGCGTACAATTGCTACATAACCGCAAACCCGAGTGACAAATTAGAACTTGAACAACTCGTGGAATTTGTGTACCGAGAGGCAAAGGTGGTGGTATCCAGGCGATTGTTTGGTCTGCGTGTTGCAGAGCTCGGACCACGCAGCATTATAATGATGGAAAACCTTCCCGAGCCACTAAACAACAACATTTAGTGGCTACCGTGCGCACGTCTGATGTTGGCGATAGCATTCCTAAAAGGCCTCCCTCGTGTCCTATTTGTCAATGGGACAACGATAAGATGGCGGAGTGTCTTGAGTTAGCGCGCAAATCTGTTAGACGACATTGGTTTTTTGCGAAAAGGTTTGGCCGGTGTTACAAGTGCTTGGAGGAGGGACACCTGCAAGGGGTTTGTAAAGCAGGGCATCCATTATTCTGGCCCACATCATGCCTTGTTGCACCATGCAAAAGGAAACAGTACAGTTGGATAGCCAAAATCGCAGTCGGGCCCACGAAATTCCCAACGCAAACATCAAGAAAATGTCCTGTCAGCCATGTAACTAGCGTGCTCACACATTCTTAAAAATATTGCCCGTGACTGTTAAGGTAGTTGGTCCAAAAATCGACTTACAACAAATTTTCTTCAAACTTTGGGGATCGCTTTGTTATATCGCTATACATCGTTCATTAAAATTTTGAAAATATTTTTTTTTTTGAGAGTACAAACCGTTTTTGAGATAAAAAGCTTCAAAGTTGGTGTAACGTACCATTGGAAGTTACCATTGGAATTATAGACCAACCCAGTGAAAAACAGACATAAAAATCAAAACCTCTCAACAAATTTCGTCAAAAAACGAATGTGCAACTACGGATACTTTGAGTTATAATATATTAAAATTTTAGATTATTTAGCCGTGCCGTCTTTTAAATATTTGAATTTTTGTGTGTCTACAATGCTTTCAGTATATCTGTACAGCGTTGATATTTTCCTAGCGTTTTTGAACTTTATCAGATTTATAAAATATTTTTCGAGATCTACGTGATTTATAAGTTTTTTATGGTGTTTTAATGAGAAATTATGTAAATTATCAATAATTTATGTAGCAAATTACTCAATAAACGTTAATTTCAACAGGTATACATACGAATACATCGACGCCTTGGACGAAAACAAGTCCAGTTCAGATTTTTCAATGTTATTTCAAATTAGAAAATCTGAACTGGGCTTGTTTTCGTTCGAGGTGTCGACATTCGCACCAACTACCTTAGAGGACCCACTCAAGCGATTAATACATATGCATTTCTAGACGACGGGTCTACTATCATCATGATAACGGAAGATTTAGCCCAGCATCTTGGATTACGTGGAAAAAGAGAAGTTACACTCATTCAAGGAACTAAAACAAGCGCTGAAGATATGGGTGTTTTCCGCAATCGTCACCAGCAAGTAATTTAAGGTTGCGCTCTACGTTACCGTCAGGTTGGTAAGTCAACTACCTTGAATTAAACTGGCGCTCTATTCCGTAATCTGATGGCCAGTTAAAACAGCAGACGACGTGAAAGTCGAGAAAAAAGTGAAGATTTCATCGATGTTGACTGTCGTCTGCTGTTTTTACTGGCCAGATTACGGAACAGAGCGCCGGGTTTAATTCAAGGTAGTTGGCTTACTGACCTGACGGTAACGTAGAGCGCAACCTTAAATTACTTGCTGCATGACGATTGCGGAAAACACACATTAAAACGAATGTAGATACGTCTGTTTTACCATCGAAGGGATAGGAGATAAAATACTGATATATGTATAACTATATAGGGCACTTGCAGTACCGTCGATTTAGTCGATTACCTTACCCGCATCAAGTGGCGCTAGTGTGCCCAGGTAAAATTTCCATAGGATTATACCTATATATTGAATGGATTTCATCGTCCGTCCTTAAATGCTGTAATTAAGTAATTCTGGAAAACAAATTCTTCTCCCGAATTCTTTGAAAGCATTTTATTATATTTGGGAGTGCTTTACTATTATTATTACAACAATTACTATCATTATCATTGTTAACGTTACAATTCACTGTTTTATTTTAACAAGTACTTGTCTTATTTGTTATTATTATTGTCGTCGTCATCCATTATCGCGACTACAAAATTTAAATTGTCCGCGGCGGGCAGCCTGCTTAAAATTCGACTACTCGAGGTTGGTATCGATTTGTCTTTGATGCTTGGTCGGAAGGTTTTAGCAGAAGAAAACGGACGAGCTCCTAACAATAAATTTATCATTTTGTGTCAAACTAACCTATAAATATACTGTGGTGTGTTTGTGTTGTGCTCTTTAAGTCGCATCGCCAGGCATCGCATATATACTTAACATGAATAAAATCCAATCCTGAAGTAAGTAGTAAAAGATGAATAAATATTTTAAGAACGAGAAAAATACAACAAAGTTTTGGCAATAGGTATCAAAGTGGATTTTCGCAGAGCAATTAAGCTTGTACTGGCTTAAAGCATGTACGTAGATTAAAACAATAAACATTGAAAACTGTAACCCACAAACAATTGTTGACCAATTCAATTTTAGAAAAACAATCATGGATCACTATATTATGCAATTGAGGAAAGGCTGGGCCCACCAGGATGGCAACTATTTAGCTACTCTTTTGTCTTTACGTTTATATGGACATTTGCGTACTAGTGCTGAGATGTACATGAAAAAGGCAGTGGAAGTGTTACCCTCACCATTTGATGATCTTGTATACCACCACTTCAAAACTCTGGCATCTATGAATGGAAATGACATATCAATGGTTTACTTGCATCACAGTGCTTCAGTTCAAACTTTGGTGAGGATCTTACAAAACCAGAAAGAAGAGAATTGGATGCTGCCAGTTATGAACATCATGTGTTTAGAGTTGAGACTACTAGCCATGAAGACAGAAAAGTCCAAGAGAAATAAGAATCTCAAGCCTGGTGAGAATTTGGAAAAATGTGCCGAGTGTCTTATGAGTTGCTTCAGAATTTGTGCTGCTGACAATCGTAGCTCCGAAGACGACACAAAAAGATGGGGCATGCTGTCTCTCGTCAATCAATTGCTCAAGGTATACTTCAGGATAAATAAGCTGCATTTGTGTAAGCCTCTTATCAGAGCGATTGAATCTTCAGTGTACAAAGATCATTTTTCTCTGGCTCAACAAATAACCTACAAGTTTTTTGTTGGACGCAAAGCCATGTTTGACAGTGACTACAAATCTGCTGATCAGTATCTGACTTATGCATTTCAACACTGTCACAAAAAATCGAAAAAAAATAAGCGGCTAATACTTATGTATCTAATACCTGTCAAGATGCTACTTGGTTACATGCCTCAACAAAAACTTTTGAGGAAATATAATTTGATGGAATTCAGTGATTTGATCGAGGCTGTAAAGAAAGGTGATTTGCATAGTTTGGAAAATGTAATGTGCAGGCAGGAAACGTTTCTTATTAATGCTGGAATATATCTGATTGTTGAGAAACTTAAGTTGATAGCTTATCGTAATTTATTCAAAAAAGTTTATTTAGTGTTGAATACTCACCAGATAGAAATAAAAAGTCTCCTTTGTGCTCTCAAATTGTATGGACAGAACGATATAGATATGGACGAAACTGAATGTTTAGTAGCTAATCTTATCAATGATGGCAAAATCAAAGGTTACATTTCTCATCAGCATAAAAAATTAGTTATTTCTAAGCAAAATCCATTCCCAAGATTATCCTCGTTGGTGTAAGCAACTCGATGAATTTAATTGTAAAATGTAACATTGTAACGTATATTCAGAGTATGAAGTAAGAATTGAAAATTTGAAAACTGTAAAATATTTTTCTCAATAAACCCGCTACAAGGTCTATCTAAAGTAGTCTTACTAATGAGCGTTCCTAATTTCGTAAAAAAGTTATTGTTCTATACATGGCGAATTGCATAATTTTTGGAGAGTAACCACCAGTTTGTTGTACATTTCATTAAAATACAAGGAATTGAAAATGATCAAATACTTGTATGTAAATAGTGTTTATTTTTTGTTTTTATATAAAGATTCATCCAGCGATATTTTTATAATACTTTTTTGTATTGTGAAAAACTACACCTATTAATAAGTATAAAAAAATTAATTGCTTAATAGATCCGTCCTTATAGGCTTAGAAAATTATATGAGGTATTGAAATTGATTATAATAATTAAAAATAAATTCTTTTTCATACACCAACTTTTTGGTAAGTAACACAATGGTACGAATGAAGGTTAATAAAAATCAAATTTTTTTTAATAAGAAAAATGACAATGCAATTCAGTTGTATCATTTATAAATATTACTTTTTTTTGCTCTTGCCTAAAGTTAGAGTATGAGATTGAGGTTGCATAGCAATTTGAGCCTTTCTTCTATTAAATTCCGTTATATCATCTTCCAATTTTTTTCGATTGTCTTCCAGTTTTCTTTTTTCTTCTTGGTGATCTTTTTTTAATTTGTCAAACTTGTTATGAAGCTAGAAAAGTAATTATAAGTTGTGTATTTTTGAGGATTTGCAAGTTGAGAAAATTTCTACTTACCTCTTTTTCAGCTTCTTTCAGCTCGGCTTCAGCATCTTTTACTCGAACAACAAACATTTGTCTCATTTCGTCCTCCTTTTGTTGTAATTCTTGGAGGTGAGTGGATCTTTTTATCTCACACGTTTGTTGGAAGCTGACTGGCTTGTTGTCACTGTCTACATCACTGAATCCAATCTGAAAAAAATGTAAAAATCAGCAAAAAAAGGCAATAATTTTTTTGTTTAATAGATATTGTATCCAAGTTTACTTGTTCAAGCCTCTTCTTGCGATATAATTCATAATGACGGTTATGAGTTTTCTCACGCATGTCTTCCATGTTTGTTCTGATAAGCATTTCTCTAAGTTTTACAAAATCACAATGTGACTCGTTTTCAACTGCAAGTAATTGAATCATTAAATTTTATTTTGTGGAATTAGAGTTCTCCAGTTAATGGGAAAAGATTACCATACCCTGAACAGTTCCCCATGGATATTGTCTCGATCTCATCATTTTGTTTCCAACGCGAACGAAATCCGTACTGCCGACTACAGCAAATGGCACATGAGCATTCATTTGAGTGTTGACGTCAGCAACACTTTCATCGTCAGTTGGGAATTGGTAAACGTTTACTCCATTTTGCTGAAGTTCACTAATTATTTTACTCTAAAACATTATCATTTTTTTATAAACGTTAACAATTTTCATTTTACAAATCAGACTTCGATAATTACTTTGAATTTTTGCAGTTCAGTTTTGGAAATTGTATCAGCCTTAGCAATAATGGGAATAATGTTGACTTTGGTATCTAATTTTTTCATACAAACTAGATCAATTGACTTTAACCTAGAATGAGAAGTAAAAATCCATAAATTTTTCGAAATTCTATACTATTGGAATGATAACCAACAATATTCGACTAAAAATGCAGTTCAAAATTGGTTTGAATACATTTGAGTTTGTAAATAATTTATTTTATGAATAATTTAAACAAAAATTTGGATCAAATAGTTGTGATAATTTCACGAAAATTTATCTAGACTTACCCATGTCCAGTAGGACAAATGAAGTAAAGGCACACGTGCGTGCGACTATCGTGGTAGGTAGAGAATGAGCGTTTAATTTTCAATTCTTCCTGCAGATAGGCCTCAAATTGAGCATCGATGTAGTCTACAACTGCTTTAAAGCTGTCTTCTTTGTTAACTTGATCTCCATAACCAACGGTATCAACAATAGTTAACTTCAGCCTGACATTGCTCTCTTGCAATTCATAAGTGTGAGCTTTTAGCTTCACCGCTGGCAAATTGTGTGGGCTGGGAGTGGATTCGAAGCTCGTGTTAAAAAGTGAATCCATAAGAGTTGATTTACCAAGGCCAGTCTCACCTGTTAATCAAAATAAAATCAGTTAAATTATCAATTTTTGTACATGGCAGGGTGAGATGATGAATCAGTCAATGTTCTTGTATTTAAAAATATTACAAGATAACAACACAATATATGGCATGATTTCTAGTCACAGCAACTGTTTTGAATAAATGTAAAAAACACAGGCTATTATTACAAATACTTTTATTATTTTCATGTGGTCTGCGAACCATTGAAACCAGCAAATTTTGTCTTTAAAGCAGAAGAAAAATAAAAAACCTTCAAATAAGTTACTATGAATCGGTTCTCAACGAACTTTTCCAGTGTTAAACGGTTCAAGATTTAAAATGTTCTTACCAATGCAGAGTATGTTGAAAACAAATCCATTTTGAACTGACTTGTTGACTAATTGATCAGGTAGGCTGTCAAAACCAACGTGTCCCGATAATTTTAAGCTGCGAGTGCAGGCCTCCACCTTGATGAGGGAAATATTAAAAAATAAATTACAGCTTTAGAACAGAAATTAAGAAGTTGCCAGATTATTTTTTGGTCAATTGCGATATATGCATTTAAATGGCAATCGCATCCGGAAGTTAACAGTTTAACAGCTATCATACCCATTCATTATTAGTCCTAAAAACGTGACATACATTTTTTCAAGGTATGCGCATAGTAGGTAGAGTTAATTAAGTAAATACTTGGGTTACACACCAGCGAAAACCAACGCCCTTGGCTTAGCTCTCGATTATTTACTCAAGAGTTTTGTATACGCATACTTACGTTCAGTACTTAGGTAAGCAATACAACTTACCTTAATTAAGTTATAGTGACGTGTGACTCGAGAATTTCGAGTATGACAAAACACGTTATTTGTTATAAATTAATGTATAATGTATAAAAGAGCTCACCTTTGGACGCTCTACGTTTACAGCCGCCATCTTTCACGCGTCTATGATTGTTACTATATGATTGTACAGTTCTCCGTCAGCTATGAAATGACACTTGACTCAACGTGGGTGTGGGTGCATACCTATGAGTGACGCGGTTCCTCTAAACAAAGACAAACTAGTAACTATCCTTGTATACTTTTAACTTGCGCAGCAACATGCAACTGATGATGCAACTACTCCAACCAACAACTGTTGCACATTGAATTGACTGAATACTATAAGTAGTTGCAGTCAAATAAATAAATAAAAATTATTACATTAATGCCCTTATACCTAATCCTAAATGTACTTGCGAACTACAGACTACAGTTACACACCAAACCAGACTCCAACTTAACGACAATAATGACAGCTCCCCCATCGGCCCATCAGCTCAACCTCAACTGTATGTACACTGAGCAGAGATTAGAAGGCTGAGTACCTACACTCCTGCAGCAGGCTACACTACCTATATGTTGATATATAAAGCTGGGAGAGACTTACAGTTATAATATAAAGAAAGCGTATCGCCGATGACAGCAGCGATGAGCGAACGAATAAAAAGAGCGTGATGAGCTGATAATTACAGTAGTTAACCTATGTACCTATACCTATAAATATACATTAATTGATACAGGCTCCGAGCACCCAAATGTGACTGGCAAACTTGCGGGAAATTCAAATTGGCTATATGGAGCAAGACGCGAGACCCCAGATACCTCGACAAAATTTCATACACAATAACTTAATAAAATAATCCCAAGCTATTTAACCCAATAACCCAACGGGCCAATAAGCAGCCTTATGAGTTTTAATAAATAATAAAATTTATTAATTAACAACGCAAGCGCCAGTCCCCACACAAACAGGGGCGCTTGCTGGTCGCTTTAATCATTTATAATTAATAATATAATAAATAAAGCAAGCGCCAATCCCCACGCGACTCGGGGCGCTTACTGGTCGCTTTAATTATTTATAATAAACATAATAATAAGACAAGCGCCAATCCCCTCACAACCTGGGGCGCTTGCTGGTCGCTTACTTATAAAACAATAAATAAAGTAATAAGGCAAGCGACAATCACCTGGCATCTTGAGGCGCTTATTGGTCTCTTTAATTATTTATATTAAATGAAATAATAACGCAAGCGCTAACATCCACACAACCTGGGGTGCTTTCTGGTTGCTTTAATTATTTATGATCAATAGAATAATAACGCAAGCGCCCCGGAACGTGTGGGGGTGTGGGGATTCGACGTGTTAACCCACTAGTAGCGCTGCCCTCATGGATGGAAAAGGAACCCTACTAGAATGTCATACGATTGTGTCAATTCTTGGCGCATGCAACTTAGAAAAAATGTATTTAATTTTATTCTGTGGTTTAATTAATTACGTAGGTAAAGGGAAAAGAAAATTTATAGAAGGAAAAAATGTTTTAAAAGCAATTCACATAATAATTTGCAGTATAACCTCAAAAACTGATAGCAAGACCCACGTAACATTCCTTGTTGTATCTTATGGCAAAGTTAATAATAATTTATTTTCAATCAAATTCGACAGCATATACATACAATTTATAAAAAATACTTACGTAGAAAGTAATGTCAGACTTGAAATGATGATTGCAAATCAAAATTATTTTTGTAGATGAAGTTAAATCATACTTTTGCTACCACATTTCACGAATGGCCTTAAGTGTAGGTAACTTATATAAGGTCACCCCATTTTCCGTAGACTTTTTACCACATCTATAAACACTGCAAGAGTTAAAACGAATTCGTTTTTTGCACGTACTCATTTTGAAAATTATTTACTTTTCGGTCTATTCAAACGGACGTATGGCATCCCAGTAGGGTTCCCTTTTCATTTGCCAGGGCGGCGCTACTAGTAGGTTATTACGTCTAATAGCCGCTTGCGTTATTATTTTATTTATTATAAATAATCGAAGTGACCAGTAAGCACCCCGACTCGTGTGGGAATTGGCGCTTGCATTATTATTTCACTTATTATAAATAATTAAAGCGACCAGTAAGCGCCCCGGTTTGTGTGGGGACTGGCGCTTGCGTTGTTAATTAATAAATTTTATTATTTATTAAAACTCATAAAGCTGCTTATTGGCTCGTTAGGTTATTGGATTAAATAGCTCAGGATTAATTTATTAAGTTATTGTGTATGAAATTTTGTCGAGTTTTCTGGGGTTTCGCGTCTTGCTCCATATAGCCAATTTGAATTTCCCGCAAGTTTGCTAGTCACATTTGGGATACAGTCACAGGGGTCAGGGGTCCGATTGGGGCATTCAATATCTCGCTTAAGTAAGCAGTTTTTTCGATAATCCCTATAAAATAACCAAAAATAACAATAATGCGCATGCATAGTTTAGGGATTATCGAAAAAAACTGCTTACTTAAGCGAGATATCGAATGCCCCGATCATACCCCAGCTATTTAATCAAATTTATTATTATTTATCAATATTTGAATGAAATAGAAGTATAATTTTTCTCAATCATGTCTTATAGTTAAGATAAAAATAAAATTTTTTCTCTTTTTTTGAGGTTGTATGCTACTAAGCCGAATATGTAGATCACATATGCATACCTTTCTTACTTATATTGAGGCATAGAGGACGCTACTGTCGGTGAGTTTGAGTATTTTGTCGGTAGTTTTTAGTTTAGCTATTCTTCTTTACGATCACGTTTCAGATGGATTAACGGTAAACTTTTCTAAGAAATGAATTTTTTAAATTTATCGCTTGCACATATACTACGAGGGGCTGCTCAATCTGTCTTTCAACAGACAGTCGACTTTAATAAATCTACTCAGTCCACTGCTTATCCAGTAAGCCCTTTGTAGGTATATTTACTTATAATACCCGCTACCAACATAATTTACAGAACAAGATTAATCCTGTTAACCAATTGTTAATTTCTTTATTTAATGATCTCAATAAAATTCAAGTGAGCATTTTGGTATAGTTTGATGAATCAGCTGTTACGACAGCGATAACTGAATCATTACACTAATTATAGCTAGTAAATAGAAAAAAAAGACTTACCTACAAAGTAAAATTTGGAAACATAAAACGATGATGTTGATACCTTAACAAAATATTAAATATTAAAAGAAAGAGATCAAAACGTCCATGTTATAAAAGTGAGTTACTAAAATGAAAACATATTAAATTTGACTGATGAATCTCGTTTCATTTAATATCGTGATAAATTTCTGATTCTTAAAATAATCAAATTATTTACGCTTTATTCTGAACATTTAAAAAAATTTTTTGTTGCATATAGAAAAAATAAGATACTGTGTTTACTTCTGGTACTGTATTTTTAAATTTGCATGCATACAATGAATTTGAACGCAGTTAATACTATACTCGCAATATTAAATAATCAGAAAAGCAAAATTATTGACACAGAAACATTTGAACTTTATTTAATAGCTAGAAGCTCATTAGCTCATTAAAAAGATAAAAATAGAATCTAGAATGATGTTATATTGTCATTATTATCAAAACAGTTACCAGTTTGTAGTTTTCAAACATATAAAACTTATAAATAATTTTTAAGCATGACTAAGGTGGAACTTCCTTAAACGGAAAACTAGCAGGTTTGGAGTTTTGGATCAAAAAACAAAGTACCTTCACTTTTTTTCTAAACTGAGTGTGACAAAACTCAAGAAGGTGCCACATTAAAAGGAATTAACACAATAAGTTTTTATCAAAATATTGTGCACAAGGTAATAAAGTCTTTTATCGTATGTATGGAAAGTTTTAAGACTTCTGGTTTCCTCGGAATCAAAAAAATAATGAAAAATATTTTTTCCTATTTCACACATAAAGATACTAGAATAGAGCACGCCAATCCTATCCAAAACAGAACAGTCGGAGAGCTAGCGATACAATTACTTATGGTACAGTTGGTTTTCATATATTTCGATATGTTTTTATGTGACCACAACGTACCGTCTTGCACTCTAGCCATAACGTAGGGTAGACGCAAAAAAAGTTAGTTCTAACTTATGATGGCTAAAACTTAGTAAAATTCCAGACTATATATATAAATATTTTTTTGTATTATAGTGCTCTACGTCCGGCTCGTTTTAATAAGGGCACTACTATGGGCACTTAGCACTTGGGAAAGGGACAAGGAAAGGGATGGGAGACCACCCATGTCAGGAGGGGGGTAGGGGGAATATAGGCAATTTTTGCTGCGAGAAGGTCGCCCTAGTACTGCAATCCAATAAAAACCAATAAAAAAACGGTGAGTTTGATTGCACAAAATAAAGACCCAATAAAAATTTTATTGTTTCCTATATGCCACTTATATGGCAAAATTATTTTATTCGAGTTTATAGTAAAAAGCCCATAATTTTTTTTCAAATAATAGTTTTTAAGATCGTATTTTCAGAGCCAAATAAATAGTTTATTGGAGTTTATAAGAATAACATTGAATCTAATCGTATGAGGTAATCCTATAATACATTTTATGTGCGTTTATAGTTATTCGTTAATAAAATTTTAATACGTTTTTATGAGTAAAAACTCTTTATTTTTACTGAAAAGAATTTTGTTGAACCATTAGAAGACTTTATCAAATTCTTATAATTTTTTTGTTGTATTTTTTAGTCAAATCGAAATTTGCAACCATGCTTGTGATATTATCAAACGTTTGCAAGTTTATGTGACTGAATGGGAATTTACGGGTGCAAAAACCGATATTAAGCCAATAGCCTGAACAATGTATTGAAATTTATTTGTCGCTCCTGATTCATCAGTGTACATACATTTTTTTTTTTAATTATTTTTTATTTTTATGTGACGATTCCCATTGGTAATCTATTGTATTTTTTATGTGCGTTTATAGTTATTTGGTAACGGAAATTTTAATAACTTTTTCTTATTAATAACCAATTAAATTTTTACTGAAAAGTATTGTCTTAGACCGTTGGTTTATGTATCTTCTATCAAATGCGTCAAATATATCAGGTAATTTTTTTTATTTTTTCTTTTTTTTCATTGCAATTTAAAAGAAAAGTGCGTTTTTCAACTATGCTCATGAAGTTAACATATGTTTAAAATTCCACATATCCAAATTGGGGTATACGGGTGCAAATGCTGATGATGGCCGTAATCTATTGGAATTTATTTATCTCTCCTGGTTTGTCAATGTACATAAATTAATTTTGTTTCAAATTGTGTTTAATTTTTAGGGATCGATCCCTTTATCCAAAACTTTGTTTTTCCTTAGGATACTAAAGTCAGTCATTCACTGGTAGATGTCACGAGCGGAGTTGTTCTTCGTAAGGCTGGGAACCC